GACTCCTCCAACTTCAGTTCACCTTGCCGGGGCTGCCACCAGCCTCTCCTCATCCCTGTCACCTGAAACACACCTGCAAAAATGCTTCTCTTCTCTTCTCCTTCAGACTGGGATTAAATCATACCTGTTTCAGGGTGACAGCTCATTAAAAGTGATCCCACTGGGAAGACCCTACAAAAAGCTTGACCCTTCCTATAGTCTTGGGTGCCAACGAGCTGATCTGTGCTCTGCCAAGTTGCCAGTGACTCAGTTGGGTCCATCTCCCCTAGAAAGGGAATGCACCAAACCAAACATATTTCTTGGTTTTGGTTTGTTTGGGCTTTTTTTTTTTTTTTTTCTCATGCAAAAAGAAGACACCAGGTGCCAACAGAACAGTGTGCTGCACCTCCCTCTCCTGAAGCACCCAAAACCAAGACCAGGCACTTCCCTCTGCCCACGGGTCTCCCCCTGCGTTCAAACTACAGCCCAGGGAACTGGATCTTGATTCCCACCTTCCCCTCCTGGATGTGCTTCCCAGTGTAAACAGCCCAGACACAGCCCAACAGGACTGGGAACTGTGCTCCAGGGCTGGAGGCCTCTGTGTTGCCCAGAGGAGGGTTCCCCATCTCCCATCTGCGCAGCGAGGGTGGGGACAGGTTTTCACCTGACACCTTTTTGCTCTCCTGCAGGGAGCTCAGCAACCTCGCCCCGAGCTGGGAGCTTTTCAGCATCTAAACAGCTCCTGATAGAGAAACCACCAACTGCAACAGTGATAATTTCCCCCTGAATGCTGCTACGGGGTGTTGATCCCACACTGACAGGACAACCCTCCTGTACCGACGCCTTCTCTGCTCTGTTTGCGAAAGCAAAGAGCTTGTTAATCCCCCCCTGTCCACGTCAGAGTCCTGATGATCTCCCCAGGCTTCCATCACAACTTGGTAATCCTGGCTCACCCCTGGCCCTAAGCACAGCTCCCTTTGGGTGGAGAGAGACTCAGGTTTGGAATTTTATGGATGAGCAGGGGGATGGAGAAGGGCAAGACTGGCTGTGGGTCCCTCTCGGTGCCCACCTGTGTGGCTGCCCTGCTGCCACCTCCAGGCACACCAGTGCTCCAAAGAGCATCCCCAGCAGCACGGGATGAGCAGAGGACTGGAGGACCTGCCACATGAGGGAAGGCTGAGAGAGATGGGTTTGTTCAGCTTGGAGAGTGCAAGGCTGAGGGGAGACCTTATTACCATGTACCAGAACATGAAGGGGGGCTGCCAAGAAGATGGAGGCTCCCTATTGACAAGGAGTCACATGGAAAAGACAAGGGGTGATGGGCACAAGTTGCTCCTGGGGAGATTCCAACTGGACACCAGAGGGAAGTTTTTCCCCATGAGGACAGTTAGACACTGGAATAATCTCCCAGGGGAAGTGGTGGTTTTTCCCCATGAGGACACTGGAATAATCTCCCAGGGGAAGTGGTGGATTCCCCCACATGGGACAGTTTTAAGACTCAGCTTTGACAGGGTGCTGAGCCATCTCTTTTAAACTATATATAACTAGAAGGGTTGGACCAGATGATCCTTGAGGTCCCTTCCAACCTGGCTTTCTGTGATTCCAGCAGCACAGGGAGGAGATACAGCAGCAAAATGTTCTTTGGGGCCAGGAAAAAGAGCAGCAGGTGCCACACGTGAGGACCAAGGTGGACGAGGAAGGACCCATTGGGTCTTTGGCTGTGTCTGTTAAACCAATTCCCTGATCACGGCTTGATTTCACATCTCCCCTTGTCACTTCTCTTACAAACATCATCTCTTTCTGCCCTGCCTCTTTCCATGCACTACTTTTGAACCCCAGCTGGAGCTCCCATCTCACCACCCCTCTCTCCTCCAAACCAGCTCTTCAAAATGCCACAGGCTGCACAGAACCACAACAACCCCAGGCTTGGGAGGACACACATCAAACTGACCTTCCCTGGGCTGAGAGTCTGCTCTGCCCTTCCTGGGAAGCTCTGCACTCTGCTACAGCCCTTCCTGGCTGTAGGCTGAGGAAAAAGCTTCATCAATATTTCAAGACAACGCCAGGAAGCCTGAAGCCCCAGCAGCTTTCAAGCCCCTGATCAGATCAATGTCAAACAAAAAGCTGCAGGATGAGGATGCTCCAGTGAGAGATGTCCAGACTGCAGCTGCCACTGTCCCCTCCCCTTCCTAATGCTGATCAAGTTTCTCTCTTGCTCTCTCTTCTCCAGCCTCTTCTAGGTCAGCACCAGCACATCACACCAAGCTGCCAAATGCCCACACCAAAAAGCAGCCCTGGAGTGCAGTGTTCTCTTCCCAAAGCAGTTTTAGTTTCTAGCAAACTTCTGAAGTTGGTGTTGCTACAATCTCCTTCACTTGCTTTGAATATGACTCTGCTTTTAAATATGACTCTGCTTTTAAATATGACTCTGCCTTAATGCCAGCCACTTAAGAACAAAACATCTGAGGCTCCAGCCATGGGGTCACTGGTTCCAGCATCCTGACTCAAGAGCAGATGCTCCAGAGTAGCAAGGAAGCCATAATGCACTTAGCTAACCTGACACTGCATGGCAGCAGGAGATCTTATTTCCCTTACCTATCAATGTAACTGATCACCAGATTATCTGCAGCCCTTTCATGGTTCAGCCACACTGCTGGGCTCCATTTCTCCCTGGAATTCTGACTTGAGCATCCCACAGACAGACAGAAGTTGCCTCTTTTTAGCCCTCTTGCTTCTCTTGTATCACTTCATTATTATTCAGATGCCAGAGGGTAGAGGGGGAAAATGTCACATCGAAACAGAAACAAAACATGAAACAAAGAGAATAATGACAACAAATTGCTCAAATCAATAGGATGGGGATAAATTTACAACCCTGCTAGGGAAAGTGGTGTGGGTAAGGGATTGGAATCCCCCAGGAAGGGTGAGAGCATTCCTACAGAGAAACCTTTATTGGAAATATCAGCAAATTAAGACTTTGCAAGCAGCAGTGAATTTTCTGGTTAATACCCTTACAGCTCTGGCAGGTGCTTTTCCCCTCTCCTCCCTGCACCCAGTTGCCCCAAACAACTCCCCATTCCACCTCCTCCTGATGGGAGGGCACAAACACCCAAGCACTGGTGTCCAGGAGGACTCTCCCACTCACACCCTCGGCTGCAGGGTAGAAAGAAGGCAGACACTGCCAAGGCTGAAAATCCATCTGCTCTCCACCCCTGAGCCAGAGGGAATGGATACTAACATCTCTTCCATCCCTAAGGGAGATATATGAGCTGGTTACATCATAAAACCAAGAGCATGGAGCTCCCAAGGACTCCAGCAAAGCCCTTCCCCTTAATACCACCGGAGATTAGAGCAGATCGAAGGAGAGTGGAAGCAAAGCAAGGGCCTGAGGGTGAGGTTTGCACAGAGGAGCCTGCTGCAGCCTCTCCCCTTAATGCACTAGAAATCCCACCTGATTTCAAACTCTGCTGCCATTAAAAAAAAAGAAGAAGTTAAAAAAAACCCAACCCAGCCTGCAGTTGAAATGCTATTAATGCTGGGTGAGTGAGGGTGACTCAGGAAGGGTGTGGAGGAGGAGAGTTGTTTAGGGGAAGCATCCAGAGGAGGAGAGTTGTTTAGGGGAAGCATCCAGAGGAATCCAGCCCCTGAGAGATGCCTTTTGGAAGCAGCCCAAAAGGAGGCAGGGGTGTGGATCTGCTCAAGGACACCAACGTGCTTTTACAAATCTGCTTAGCTGCTGGTTTGGAGCATCCAGGGGCAGCTCCTTCCTTCGACAGCCACACGCTGCTCATCCCCCCTCGAGCAGGGTGTAATGCAACACCACCCTACTCATCCCCCTCGGAATCAGCCGCGTTCCCAGCTCCGAGAAGAGGGTTTTCACTTCGTTTCTGCTCCCTCTTCAGGCTGGCTGACTCCACAGCAAGACACATCACGCCAAAACACCCCCAGTAAAATGACCCTTCCCCTCCGCTGACCCGTTTTGGCTGCAAACATTGACATTCTAAAACAAGTGGTGTTCCCTGTGAGATAAGGATTTTGCTGGAAGTTAAACTCGAGGTCCCATCTAGCCGGGTTTCTGCTTTACATGCAAAGTGACAAGGCAAAAAGTCACTGCTCTGCCACCCAACTGCACATGCTTGTTCTTCTTTTGACAGTTAAAAAGTCCAAATCGTCCCATCCTCGAGGAGATGTTTCTTTGCAACTTCACACTTTGCATCCTTGTTGGACTTGTTTTGACAAACCTCCTTCCAGTTAATTGAAATAAACAGTGAGTTGCATCTCTAAAGTGGGAAAACATGATAGAGGCATCAGGCAGAAGCAAAGCACAACTGGAGGCAGTGGGTGAGCCCCAACTAGACACGACTGTACGTTCCAGAATCGTCTCTTGAACCAGTTTCTATTTGGTTTCATTCCCTACCAGCTTGGTTTGAGTAACTGCAAAAGCCACCAGACTTGGTAGAAAGAGACACCCAGGTAAGAGGTGAGAAATGCTACAGAGAATCCCCAGAACCAAGAGGTTGACTGTGGTGGCAAGATGGCAAATGAGGCAGGAGCCAAACAACCCAAGGGCGACTGTGAAGGGGTGGCCAGAAGGTCCCAGCTAAGCAGAAAAGCCACGGCTGCTCAAGAGCAGCCACGACCCCCCCACCCCAAGAAAGTCTTGAGAAAGGAAGGAAATGAGTTGTGCAATAAAACCTTGGTCATCCTCTGCTCCTCCACTGTGAGGTGAGTTTATTACAGCACTGACTAGCTGTGTTAGTTGACCCAGTCTGCTAAGGACTGTGCAGGGACAGAGTGGGGAGCAGTTTTTCCCCTCAAAACCAAAGAGCAAGTGGAAGTCAACGAGAGGTTAGTGCTACCATTTTAACTCATAGACTAGTTAGTGACCTGGCAGGGAGCCAGAACTAGTTGACTAGTGAAAACTTAACATTTCAAGTAAAAGAGAGAAAAAAAAACCAACCCCTAGCTGAGGAGAGCAAAGGAGAAAACCATACACAAGAAACAATGTCTTGCAGCCTTACCATTGGCATCTTGGACTCCAGTAAGTGCTCCTACTGCTGCTGCAGTTTCACCAGATAGGACAATTTGTCCTCCACCTTGGAGAGTGGCTTCAGCCAGCGTGGCTACTGCGTGGGCAGCTGCTTCACTGCGGGCACAGGAAGGGAAAGGAGAATTAGGAAGGCCAGACAAACCAGTAACTCCCTTCCAGTAGCATCCATTTGAGCCAGGCAAAGAGAACAAATCCAGTCAGGAGGGATCCTCACCTGGCCCAGATGAAGTTACTCAGAGGAGAAAATCCACAGTGGAAGAGGAATGTATGGGCAGAAGCAGCTTCCACTGGCTTTTTTTCAGCTTGCAGATCCCTTAGTTTGACCATCCCTGCCTTCTTACCTTCACATCCTTTTGCTGGGGACTTTACTAAAAGCTTCCAGACAATTTCTAGACCCGTTTTGGTTTGAAAAGATCCTTGAAGATCCTCAAGTTCAACCACTGACCCAGCACTGCCAAGGCCACCACTAAACCATATCCCTAAGTAGCACATCTACCTGTCTATCTCCAGGCAACAAGTCACACCACACAGCTCCTCCCTGCCTCTGCTTTCGGGTACAAACCTCATTCTTTTGGCACTGTCACATTCCAGGTCTCTACAGATTTTCAAGCTCTACCCTTTATTAGTGATTCAGCCAGTTCTTCTTGCACTGGAACAGGCCCAGAGGTTTTTACCATGACCAGGATCCCATCAGCAGCTCTGTATTTAGCTGGGCTGGAGCACTTCTCCCCAGCCAAGGGGTTTAATAATTCTCCTTAATGAGTGATTGGTAGCTCAGCACAGGATTCTTAAATTTCTTCATACAAATGAGGTCAGCCCAAAAGTCCTTCCCATGCAGCAATCCTGCTGTGAAAACAGCCAGGATCAGGTGTGCAGGGAGGAACATGGACAACCCTTCCCTTCCCACACCCTCTCAGCTTCCGAGGGTCGGGAACGTATCGATTTCCAGCAGCAGAAACTGCACCATCAGCTTTGATTTTGTTTCATCACCTCTGGAACCCGTTTCTGCTCTGGTTTTGCTGCCACACCATCCTGGAGCAACGAGTTCCACGTTTCAGCAGCTGTTGTGGGAAGAAGAACGACACGATGACACTCCCAGGAGCTACTGCCTGAGACTGGCTGGGCAGCCCTCAGGTCTGACAGCGCCAGGAGCAGAAAATCACTGTTCCCTTGTTGTTTTCCTCATGATTTCATAGACTTCCCAGGAATCTCCTTCCCAAGCTGAAGAGCCACAGCCCACTTAGTGTGCAAGGACTTGTCCTGCCTTCAGATCACTGGTCTTTTCCAGACTTGTTCTAAATCTAAGACAGTTTTTGAGGGGGGGGTAACCATTTCTCACACTATTCAAGATGCAGACACACCAGGAATTACTCCAGGGGCCTAATCCTGGCTTGTTCTTTATGTCTTTCCCTTTAATTCCTGGGATTCAACTTACTCTTTTGACAACACCTGCTCAGCAGTGACAAAACACCCAGTTCCTCACTGGGTATGTACAGCAGATGTTTCTTAACACTCTGCATTTACTGACATCAGGTTTTATTTGCCCTCTGGTGGCACAAAGTTCTGTGACCATCATCCTTCAGCAGCTCTCCAGGCTTTTCCAAACCTTTTGGATAACTTTTATCTACTTCTGGTGACTTATCACTCATCACAAAGTTCTCCCAAACCCACCTTCTTCCCCCAGCTTCATCTCCTACCTTTTCTTACCTTAATGAACTAAAAAAGTAGGTATTTTCTTTAGCCCTTCCTGTGGAAAAGACATTTGAGGAGCCACCAAGGAGCTTCCCCTAGGATGCTCTTCCTTAACTGCCCTACTCAATCTCTGGCAGACCAATTGACTCCAATTCTTTTCCAAGTATTTCCTGCCCATTAATTCTCTTTCCTAATTTTCTGGTTACATGCTGTGCACTTCCCAACTGGATTCACTCCAGTGAATGGGTGGATTTTCATTTCTAAATGGCCCCTCTCTCTTTTCTCAGAGCAGCTCTTAAACACTCCTAGTGAGCCAGAAGATTTTCTTGTTCTGCTTTCTTATCCCCTTCAGCTAATACAATGGTGATCCCACATGGACAGTGGGATCAAGTGCACCACCCCCAAGTGTGCAGATGACACCAAGCTGTGTGGTGTGGGGACACACCTGAGGGGTGGGATGCCATCCAGAGGGACCTGGTCAAGATGGAGAAATGAGACCATGTGAACCTCAGGAGGTTCAACAAGGCCAAGTGCAAGGTCCTGTGCCTGGATTGAGACAAATCTTGGTGTTAATAGAGGCTGGGGGACAAAGACATGGAGAGCAGCCCTGAGGAGAAGTACCTAGGGGTGTTGGGTGAGGAGAAGCTCAACAGGCGCTGGCACCGTGTGCTGGAGCCCAGAAACCGCCCTGTGTGTCCTGGGCTGTCACAGCAGGGTGACGAGCAGGGCCAGGGAGGGGATTGTCCCCTCTGCTCTGCTCTGCTGAGACCCCCCTGCAGGGCTGGGGCCACCTCTGGGATCCCCAGCACAGGAAGGACATGGAGCTGTTGGAGAGAGGCCAGAGGAAGCCCCGGAGATGCTGGGAGGGCTGGAGCAGCTCTGGAGCCAGGCTGGGAGAGTTGGGGGGTTGAGCCTGGAGAAGAGAAGGCTCCAGGGAGACCTTAGAGCAGCTTCCAGTGCCTGAAGGGGCTCCAGGAAAGCTGGGGAGGGACTTGGGACAAGGGCAGGGAGGGATGGGATGAAGGGGAATGGTTTTAACCTGGATGGTGAGACACTGGTCCAGGTTTCCCAGAGAGGTGCTAGATGCTCCAATCCTGCAACCATTCAAGGTCAGGTTGGACAGGGCTCTGAGCAACCTGATCTAGTGGGAAGATGTCCCTGCTCACTGCAGGGGGTTGGATTAGATGGCCTTGAAAGGTCCCTTCTCACCCAAACCCTTCTGTGACTCTGTGACTCCATCCTGAACCTGCAGAGATGAGGCTGCAGGAGGGATGTCTGCAGCACAGCCAGCCTGGGTGAGCACAGGTTTACTGGTGTACCAGGGCTTGACTGGTGTAACCTTGTTTCCCAGATTTCACACAGCACTTATTTGAATCCACTGTCAAGGACAATTGAGTGGTTTTTTCTCATCTGTTACAGTTGCATCCCTGAAAATAATAAGGACCTGCAGCATAAAAAGCTTCTTCCAGTTACAGTGTCCTCCTAAACATTGATTGGTTCAAATCAATTAATTAATTGCCCACCTCCATTTTATCCTCTTTTACTAGAAGGCCTAATCCCACCCTCAAACCTGACAGAGGTTGGGTCACCCAAGCTGTCAGGCTGCTGGCAGATGCCCTGCTCTCCATGGAACCAGGAAGGACTCAGCAGCCACTGGAGATGGCAGCTTTCAGCTCCATTAGGCACAAAGTTTCCAGAGTTGGGAAGATCCACCAGCTTTCAAGGACCAGAGCCCTGCTGAGATCTTCCTACAGGCAGGGGAAAGACCACAGTCCTACAAGCTGAAGCTACAAGGAGCTTTTTGTGGCAAAGGGAAAAGTGCACTTATTCCACATGGAATGGTGGTGGAGGAGAGTCACCTGGAAAGGTCTCCAGATCTGGCACAGGCAGCAGACAAAGAGGGTGACAACAAACTGGGAAATAAGGAGCAAGGCCCCTCATTCCCACTGGAATTCTGCTACAGGCTCTGCATCAGTCCTGATCTACAAGCTTTCCTGGGAATACACAGGTCTGATCCCAGCTTGAGGCACAGCAGAGGCTAAATGACTTGTTGAAGGATTCCTATTTAGTTCTCACCTTGCTTCTTTTTGCTAAAGATTCTCAATTTCTGAAGCTAATAAAGGAAAAGAAACTGCTCATTGTGACTTTAAGAGCTGCAACTAGTGGTGATGGGATGCAATGAAATCAAGAGCACTCTGGTGTTTTGAGTCCAGAAGAACTGCTCAAAAATACAGAGAAAAATCTAACACCTGGAAATGTGCAGGATCCAGAGCCTGCAAATCAGATTCCAGGAGGTGGGGCTTTTGCCCTGCAATTCCCTACCTGGTTACTTTGGCTGTTCTTCTTACAGAGTCCTAAAATAGTTCACTGGCTTTTAAAAGGCAACTTCATAGTGAAACTATCAGCAAAAAACCTGCTTAATTTAATGGTATGGTAGCAGGAAAGAACTATCTGATGGACCTGGATCTGGTCAGAAAATTGGTTCTGTTCTAGCTCAAACCAGAACAGAAACAGTTCTAGGTGTGTCCATGACTCAGTTGTAATTTGGAAGCAAGATGCTGAATGCCCCCTATTTTATGATAGAATAGAATCACAGAAGGGTTTGGGTTGGAAGGGACCTTAAAGAGCATCCAGTTCCAACCCCCTGCATGGGCAGGGACACCTCCCACCAGCCCAGGCTGCTCCCAGCCCCATCCAACCTGCCCTTCAACACTGCCAGGGATGGGGCAGCCACAGCTTCTCTGGGCAACCTGGGCCAGGCTCTCCCCACCCTCACACAGTGAGGAATTTCTTCCTAATGTCCAACCTCTTCCAGTTCTGATCCACTGCCCCTTGTCCCCTCACTACAAGCTCTTGTCAAAAGACCCAATTTGTGCCTACAATGTGGTCTTGGAGCTTCACTCCAACCACCAGCAGTATGGATTTGTGCCTTGTCCTAACCCATGGCTGCTCAGTCAACAGCCCCTGGAGCAGGATCCCTGTTTGGAAGAGGAAGATGTTTTGTCTGCACCTCAGCACTGGGAAGCCTCCCAGGTTTCCTGTGGTGCTCCTGCTCTCCCAGGGTGCAGCTCTGCTGTGCCACAGCCATTCCCAGCTTCTGAGAACAGCAGGTAAAGCTTGAACTCACCAGAGCTGACCAAAGGCACTGCTTCCTGCTGCATGGACCTGTAGAGGACTACACTGTGGGTCTTGGTAACCTGAGTACAACCACAGATCTAAAAGAGCTCGTTCCAAGGTGTAGAGGCAGCATTACCCCTGCAGCTCATTCACCTTCAGAAACACATCTGGGAGCAATCCCCAGAACACTGGGCCTTTGGAGGAGATCCTGATTTCTGAAGAGACCATACAGACACCACAGGATATTTCAGCCTTAGGCACTAATAATACTGAGGGAAACCCAGACCAGCAGGCTCAAAAGGTGCTACTAGCACATCACAACTCCTCCTTGCTCAGCAAACTCAGTTCTGTAACTGAACCCTTGCTCTACAAGATCATTTACAGGGTAAAGTTACTATCCCAGCTTCTTCTCTTTCAGGAAATTTCCATGTCAGTCTTCTTCTCTGGTTACAGTGGAAATGAGGAGCTGTCCTGCAGCCACCTGGACATGGGCTGACCCAGGAATCTGCTACACAAAAGCCTCTACTGGGACTGCACACGTGGGTCTTTGCACCATTAAGAGTGAATATATAAGAAGGAATGGTCACGAGTGGATGGTTCAGGCCTTCAGCTCTCCCCCATACCTGTTGAGTGCCATGGTAACAGTTGCTCCTTGCTGCATCTCCTGAGATGCTGCCACTGCTGCTTCTGCTAACGATGCCACCGCCTGCGTGGCCTCCGATGCCTGCGTCGTCTGGATGGTCATCTCACCCCCCTGTAGCGTTGCCCAGTTCTGCTCCACCTGTGGCCAACAGACAACAGGAAAGGCCCTGAGACTGGACATCATCCCCCCGATGCACAGTTGCTTCCTAAAATGAAAGAGCCAGACAGTTTCGAGAGGTCTTTGCAGAATCCTGCCCGTGCCCTGACTCTGAGAGACAGGGGTGGGGGGAAATAAAGGAGGAAGCTTGGGATCCACCTGAGAACATTGCTGGACCCTACAATCCTCCATCAGCCATGAGGGAGTTCCTCTAGTCCACCCCCAATTTTAGCTGCTGCTCTCCATGTGGTCAGTCTTCAAACAAGAACTTTTCTCACACACCCCCATAAACACCTGTGGAGCCCCCAACCTCCCACAAATCCCTTTTGTCCAGCCAGGTCCACCACAAAACTGGACAGCTTTGATTGTTACTGTACTGGGATCACTGCCTCCCAGTTCATCAAGTAGATGCTGGAAGCCCAGCATGGATCACATCCTGCCTCACTGTTTCCATTGGTCTCCACCCACCCCCTGTCACTCCAGGGAACAGTCCACATTCCCACTCAGGATTTATTTGCACAGCACTTGTGAACTGGGATGGGTTGGAGCCAACTGGAATTTCTTTGTGCTGCAGAAATATACATAATAAAAGAAGCTGGCAGATGGCAAGTACCCTGCTCAGGTATTTCAGGTACTTCCAGTTCCCTCCCTTCAGACCTTTGTGTAGATCAGTTGCATATCATTTAAAGTTCACCCAGTCTTGGTTGCTCATTTTCCACCTTGCCCACCTTCCTCCATTTGGGACTTCCCTGCTCATGAGCTAATGGGCTGCATGGCCACAAAATCCACCAGGATGGGAAGCCAAAATATGCACTGGACCAAAAAAAATACTGAAGAAGTGGAGCAGGAAGACCCATCAGCTGACAAAGCCTACTGGCTGCTTTACAAGATGAAGATCTTCCTCCCACCCTCCCATCACTATTCTCAGCCCCATGAACCACAGAATGGTTTGGGTTGGAAGGGATCTTAAAGATCATCTGGTTCCAACCCCCCTGCATGGGCAGGGACACCTCCCACCAGCCCAGGTTGCTCCAAGCCCCATCCAACTTGGCCTTGAACACTGCCAGGGGAGGGGGCAGCCACAACCTCCCTGGGCAACCTGTTGCAAACGTTTCAGACCACTCACCATCTTGCTGAGACACACGAATAAGAATGCCAGAGAAGGTGATGAAGCAAAAAAAAAAACAGCCCCAAAACCCCTCAATTTGTTAAGAGGGAAGAAGCTCAAATGTCCACGGAAGCAGAGCTGGCGCAAGGCTCCCCACAAAAGGGCAAGTCAATTTTGCTGCCTTTGGGCAAGAGAAAAGGGTTAGTCCCATCACAGGATGAAGAAGGAGAGAGAACCTGTTGTGCTCTCACTCACATCTATCACACACTCCTCAGCAGCTGCCAATCTGGTTTTCCAGCACTTGGGCAAAAGCACAACTGGCGTTCGTCGGAGCTCTTTAGCCGTCCCCGGCCGTCTGACGTTCATGGCAACTGCTTCATTCTCCTGTGCCCAGAGCTGACCCTGGGCAGAAGGATCCAAAGAAGGGAGGAAGCAGTGAGATAGTGCATGGCGAAAAGGAGAAAGGAAGTTGTTTTTAGAGAAGGCAAACATCTTTTTAGGAAAGATGCAACCGAGTTGGGAGGGCCCGGAGAGGAAGAAGCCGCAGGTAGGAGAGGGCAGGAGAGTCAGAGTGAGTGTGTGGTTCTCGTTGCTGAAACCCAACTGAAGTGAACCTGAGCTGGGAAAGACACCCTTCCCATCATCATACAGGAGAGGAACAGACATACATGTGTGCAAACACCTAACAGTACACATTTGAGTGATCAGGCAGGTCTCCACGGTGACCTAGCGCAGCCTGCAAAGATGCCTGAGCTGTTCCAGACCTGGGGCAAGGTCAAGCCTGGAAGAGAAGTGGGGATTGTCCAGGTGTTTCACTGCACCAACACAAAGGTTCTGCTGCTGAGATACCTGCTCCCTGCTGCTCAGCATCCTCTAAACACATGGATTTGCTCAGAACTAACTCAGATCTTCACACAGCACGAGGTAGCAGGACAAAAATGTCCCTAGAGCAGCTGCCAGCAGGCTGGGGATCTGTCTGCACCCATCCCCAGGGCAACTTTACTTCCCTACCTTTATTTTGCCCAAGATATTGCTTAGATGTTCTCCTCATGTTGGGAATTAGCTGCTCTTATTCCCTGATACCTCTTTGTGCCTTTGAAAAACATCTTTCAGGTCTCAGGAGGTATCACTTGGTCTGCAAAACCCTTCAAAGCAGCTGCAAAGTACTTCAAGGTCATGGCCCCAGAGCCTGGTTGTTCCACCGTGGGTCTGAGATGGGAACAGGCCCTGGTGCAGAGCAAAGCTGTTCTGTGCTGCCACCTGTCGCTGTGACAGCCTGTCCATGCAGAGGAGACCAGACCTTACAGAAATTCTGGCATGGAAAAGGGTAGGAAACAACCTGGAGCCCGGTCTTAAGGTGGGGTTTTTAGTGAAAAGGGTAAAAAATATAAATATATATATATTTTTTAAAAAAATCTTCATAATTTTAAAGGAATGTTCCTTAAATGCACACAAAAACGTTGTTACTCAATTAAATAAAAGGGAGGAAAATAAATGCATGTGAATTGGAGTGTTCAGATGTTGGGATTGAAATGGTCTGATCAAGTCCTCAATAGAAGCAACTTGACCCAGTTGTGAAGCAGTGGAAGAAACTTGCACAGTAAAGGTAACAGTAACTGGGCAGGACCTGCTGCTGCCTCCCCTCTGTGCATCTGCAGGTTCATGGAATTGTTCTGGTTGGAAAAGACCTTTAAGGTCCTCCAGTCCAACCATTCCCCCAGCCCTGCCCAGTCCTCACTGCCCCATGTCCCTCAGCACCATCTGCAGGGCTTGGAAACCCCTCCAGGGATGGGGACTCCCCCCCTGCCCTGGGCAGCCTGGGCCAGGCCCTGACAGCCCTTGCCAGGCAGGAATTGTTCCCCAGATCCAACCTCAACCTCCCCTGGCACAACTTGAGGCCGTTCCCCCTTGTTTTGTCACTTGTTCCCTGGGAGAAGAGACCAACCCCCATGACGAGTTACCCAAGTCTCTCTCTGGGATTGCCTTGCAAACCTCCTTAAAAGCTGCAGCAAAGGAACAGTCCCATTTTGTCCAGAGATCCATGGCCAAAGACTCACAGGACTTGTCCAGAGCTGAGCAACCTCTTTTGCTAACCACAGGTTCAAAACATCCCTCCCAACCCTCCACTGACCATCCAGCACCCAGGACCCACAGCAGTTACCCAGGACCCACACAAAGCAGTTACTAAATATGAATGCAGGAACGTGCACTTGTGCAGGTCATTAAGTCTCTATCTGCTACAGCAGATCTCACAACATAAATCACCTATCAGAGATATGAAAATTATGAAATTCAGGAGTGAGGCTTCCACCATAACTGCATTTGCAGAGTCCTGAGTCAAGGTGACAACAGTTCAGCACTGCCTACATAAAAATTCACACCACCTCACGTTCACACGTGTGCTGATCCTCCAAACGGAGGGGTGGGGAAGAAAGGCTTGGTGTTCCTGTGACCACTTGATGCTAGAAAATGTTTCTCCCGACTGAAGTTCAGAGAGGACAATTCTGCTCAGTTCTGTGCGCTGTGAACACGACCCAGGTTCTTACCTCTCCATCAGTCACTGCAGAGTAATTGACTTGTGCGACGGTCACTGTGGTTGGCAACTCGGAGGCGTCGGCCAGCGTGGCCACTGTGGCACCAGTGCCAACCTGGGGGAGCCAACAACATGGGGTTGAAGACACTTGTTCTGGCAGGAAAATGGCCACAGAATTCAAGCAAAGGGGGACTCAATTGATCTCAGATTCAAAAAAAAAAACCCCATGGATCCCACAGAGAATAAAAGCAACGGCAGAGCTCATGGAAAATACGGAGCTGACTGGAAGGGCTGGGGGAGGAAATGATGGGCTATAGAGACATCAGTTCCATGGAGGTGATGGGGGGGCTGGAGCAGCTCTGCTCTGGAGACAGGCTGGGAGAGTTGGGGTGTTGAGTCTGGAGAAGAGAAGGCTCCAGGGAGACCTGAGAGCAGCTCCCAGTGCCTGAAGGGGCTCCAGGAAAGCTGGGGAGGGGCTTGGGACAAGGGCAGGGAGGGATGGGAGCAGGGGGAAGGGTTTCCAGCTGGCAGAGGGAGCTGGAGCTGAGATGGGAGGGAGAAATTGTGGGCTGTGAGGGTGGGGAGACCCTGGCCCAGGTTGCCCAGGGAAGCTGTGGCTGCCCCATCCCTGGCAGTGTTGAAGGGCAGGTTGGATGGGGCTTGGAGCAGCCTGGGCTGGTGGGAGGTGTCCCTGCCCATGCAGGGGGGTTGGAATTAGATCATCTTTCAGTTCCCTTCCAACCCAAACCATTCTGTGAGTCTAGGATAATCTGTGGCAGCTTCCAGAGAGGATATGGCCCAGGAGAAGGTTTTGCAGAGCCCTCCTGCTGTCCCTTATGATCACACAGAACACAGAGTCCCTGCTGTCCTCACCAGGAGCAGCAGCAGGACACTGCTGCCATTCCCACCATCTCCAGGGCTTGGAAACCCCTCCAGGGATGGGGACTCCCCTCCTGCCCTGGGCAGCCTGGGCCAGGGCCTGACAACCCTTTTCCAGGAAGGAATTGTTCCCAAGATCCAACCTCAACCTCCCCTGGCACAACTTGAGGCCATTTCCTCTCCTCCCATCACTCCATCCCACTGCCACCACTGGCATGAGCTGTATTTGTTTATAAATGGGTTTGTTGAATCCAGGTCAGACCTCTGGACCAACTAGCTGGAGAAATGCTTGTGCTGCCACAACAGGAAAACAAGGGATGGGAGTAGGGAAGGGAGAGGATGAGACTCCTTCTTTGGGTGGGAACATTGGATTAACAAGCCTGTGGGCTCAGTCATACAGATAAAGACAAAATTCTTGAAGGACAAGTTAAGCTCCCAAAAGGAGTTGGATCTAAACCTGACACAGGCATCTTGATCCCAAGTCACCCGTGATGGAAACGCAAAGGGTCTCACCCACCTGGATGAGGGACACGGTGCCATCAGGGTTACTGAAGGTCTGTACCACTGTCTGTGAGGGCACCAGGTGGGCTATACTGTGCGTGGTGGTTGTTTGCTGCTGTGTCTGCTGGTCCTCAAAGGCATAGAGCAGGTCCTCACGCCCGTGCTGCTTGTAGCAGTTTTTCACGATGGTCCGCAGAGCTTGGGTCCACGACACCTGCCAGCAGGAGGAGAAAACCACTGAAGAGACACTACAAAAAGTTTCCTGAACCACAGCAGTGGTTATTGTTACATGGTTTTATTGGGAAGTTTTCAACAGATCCTCAAACCAACCAAAGGCTCCCTTATCTAATCCCCCTCTGCTCATTTCCCCCCTCCCCCTTGTCGTCCCCCAGGAAACCACTCTGGAGAGCTCCTGTGACCTGACAGGGCACAAGCTCATCTGGCCAAGGATGGAACCTGTTCCAGAAATCTTTCATGCAATCTGAGATCTCCTCTATGAAATCTGTTTTGACAGCTTTGAAGGAATTCTAACTAAGGGACCTAGTCTAGTGGGAGGTGTCCCTGCCCATAGTAGGGGGGGGATGGATCTACAGGATCTTTCAGGTCCCTTCCAACCCAAACCATTCTATGATTTGGATCAACAAGTAGAAAACCCTTCCCACCTAGGAAGGCACCAACTGCCTCAGCACCATTTCCAGCCTCAACAGGCATCCACCCCCATCCAACCACACCTACATCAGCACAGGTCCTATCCCCTTGCACACCCTGGTAACTTCCTTGGATGATCTTTATGACAGGTTGATAGAAACATCACCTGCCTACAGCATCTGTGGCTGTAACTGATACCCAAAAGCTTTTCATCCAGTTCTTTCATTTTTTCCCTGGCTCCTCTGCACATCCTTGATGACCTTCCTTTAAGTGCACAGGTCCCTGCTGCTCAGGATGGGTCAGTTTCAATTCATAAGGCTGTGGCACAGACTCTGCAGTAAATCACTCAATCATGGAATGGTTTGGGTGGGAAGGGACCTTAAGGATCCTCTACTTCCAACTACTCACCATGGGCAGGGACACCTCCCACCATTCCAGGCTGCTCCAAGCCCCATCCAACCTGCCCTTCAACACTGCCAGGGATGGGGCAGCCACAGCTTCCCTGGGCAACCTGGGCCAGGGTCTCCCCACCCTCACATAGTGAGGAATTTCTTCCTAATGTCTAGGAATGTCTAAATGACCTGCATCCTTGGAGAGCAAACTTGCCTTAGGCTGGGTAGGATGCTGCACAAGGCCAAAGAGAGGAGCAGGTTCTGCAGCTTGTGAAAAGGGACCTGCTGCAGAAAGAGATGTGGTTCCAACACTGCTGACTATGCAACCCCAGCAGGGACCAGGCAGATGGAAGGTTGTGCCTTTCCCACCCCACTGCTCTCCCAGCCTGAATGTCTGACACAAAGCCCAGGCAATACTGATGTCATGACTCCTTCTGTCACCCAAGGGGAAAACTATTCCTACAAGAACTAGTCACAAGCCCCTGCTCTCAATCTGGAGGCAGGCAGAGGGGACACACACCCGCTGCTTCTGTTCCTCTGTGCGGACGTCGCTGCGAACGTTGGCCCATGGAATGTCCTCAGGCCACCAGATGGGCTTGCAGCTTTCCTTGCCCCAGCCTGGTTTCCCCCGACCCGTGGAATACTTCAGCATCTCAGGGATGAAAGCTCGCAGTTGTGCCTGGAACAGAACACAGGAGAGGGTTGAGAAGACTTTAGGAACCCAAATCTCTGCTTGTTTTGAGGTGTGTGGTACGTTGTTACGTTCAACTTCCACAGTTGTTGGGAACCAGCAACTGGAAGAGACCTGAATGCCTAAGGAAGATGGACAAATTCTGCACCACCTCCCAAGACTCAGCTGAGAACAGCTGAGTAGCAAGAGGAAGAGCAGCAACAAAATTAAGCCAGCCAGTTACAACCATAAGGCACAAACACACACTGTCTTAACCCTGTGTGGTTCGAACACCACCGTGAAGAGAGCAAGCCAGCCTGAAAGGGAGGACAAAGAACAGATTCTCAAAATAATGCAGAAAAACCCCACCCTCAGTGTCCCCACAGGAACTCAGATGTGAGCTGATGTACATTTTACAGAGATGCTGCAAAGAGGATGGAGCTTCAGAGAGCTGCTCACCTGGAAAAAACCACAATCCCACCCCAACTTCTCCACCCTTGTAGAACGGAACACACACTGGCTGATTTTGTGGATATACCTTTAACTTTTTGCCAGAGTGGAGACACCTTTCAACATGATTTTAGTCCTCAGCACCCACAAAAACTGGTCAACTAGTGACCACCTTGACCATCAGAACACAACACCTTCAAAATAGACTTGCAAAGCAAATGGAGGAGATTTGTCACCAAGTGCAAGTGACATCCTCAGCGTTGCCAAAGAGAACCCAAAACTCACACCAGGTTTTATGACACAGTTGGGTTTTGTACCAGGGACTAGCTGGAGCCTCAGGAAAACACTGGTGCAGCTGCAGAAACAGAGCAGGAAGAGGAAGGAGTGGTCACTGCCACCTCAGAGGAAACCACATGAGCTTCTGGAGGACTTATCACCCATCCCTGATCTTCTGCAAGAGTGTCCCTTCCTCCCAGCCATAATCCTGCTTGAATGACATGCAGGTTTGTCTGGATATGGTATCCATTGGCTCCAAGCTGTAAATCAACTCATTTCCAAGCTGCCCTTTCCATGCTAGCACAGGAAATCTGCACTCAAGTCCCCCAGGCTGGCAGGGGAAGGGAGGAATGTTCTGGTAAAAAGAAAACCATTTCTGTGCAAGCACCATCTCCCAGGTTGCACACAGTTTGCAGCAGTGGCCAGGGACTTCAAAGGCACTAACAACCCAGTATCACTGTGGGGCCATGCAGAGCCTACCTGCTGCACAACCCCCTAGAAGAACCAACCCTGCTCAGAGAAGCAGCTGCATTTCTGTTCTTCCACTCCACTGACATCCTGAGCAAGGTCAACTCGTACAAAACCCTGAATGGAGGCAGAAAAACCCACCTGGGTGCCCTTCAAACAGGAAGAAGGGAGATTTAGGTTGGACATTAGGAGGAAATTCTTCACTCTGAAGGTGGGGAGACCCTGGCCCAGGTTGCCCAGAGAAGCTGTGGCTGCCCCATCCCTGGCAGTGTTGAAGGGCAGGTTGGATGGGGCTTGGAGCAGCCTGGAATGGTGGGAGGTGTCCCTGCCCATGGAGGAGGGTGGAACTGGATGATCTTTAAGGTCCCTTCCAAACAAACCATTCCATGATTCTATGATTTTTCCCAGCCTGTCTGTGATGCACCTTCCACTGCAGGGCCACCCACCCCCTGACCCACCTCAGGATCCCTGCTCCAGGCCCTGTTTATCCTCAGGAACCTGCTGAGGTCACAGAGTTGCGTGGTGCAAAAGCAGTTAAAAGCTCCTTCCCAGAAGTGCTCTCTGCAAACCATGCTCCTTGTTACCAGATGGATTAATTACTGGTCCTAGGGAGTGCAGCAGCTCAAGCTACTCACAAGCACTTGTTAAGGAGGGTTTGCCTTTAATCCACCAGGGAGACAATCAGCAGCAGTGTTACAACCTGCTCCAGCATGAGGACTTCTCTAATTAGTGCCATAACGAGACCTCACCCAGGCTCCAACAGAGGCTACAGCCCCGAGACAAAGACCCTGCATCTCCCAGGGTGCAGCTGGGAGGAACCAGTGGGAGCCACGTGTTCTGCTGACTCTGTCCACAAACCACCTGAAAACCAAATCTCTGCTAAAAAACAAACCCAGCAGCTAATTCCCATTTGCACATTCACCAGCTCTGGAAAGGGTTCAGATCATCTCCTGCATGGAGGGTTTGAGAGAAACGGTAAGAAATGTTTCTCTGACACCCTTTGGTACAGAAATCATAAAACAGTTTGGGTTGGAAAGGATCTTTAAGATCATCTAGATCCATCCCCCTGCATGGGCAGGGACACCTCCCACCAGCCCAGGCTGCTCCAAGCCCCATCCAACCTGCCCTTCAACACTGCCAGGGATGGGGCAGCCACAGCTTCTCTGGCCAACCTGGGCCAGTCTCTCCCCACCCTCACAGCCCAGAATTTCTCCCTCCCATCTCAGCTCCAGCTCCCTCTGCCAGCTGGAAACCCTTCCCCCTGCTCCCATCCCTCCCTGCCCTTGTCCCAAGCCCCTCCCCAGCTTTCCTGGAGCCCCTTCAGGCACTGGAAGCTGCTCTAAGGTCTCCCTGGAGCCTTCTCTTCTCCAGGCTGAACAACCCCAGAAACTAGAGTGTCTTCTAAGCTTTAACACAAGGTCAAGTGTTAGTGGTGCTGAGCTACTACCACTTGCAGTGGCCCAAAGCTCAGACAACCCCACTCCAGCCCTGGGAAGTTCTCCTGTGTGTGGAGCACCCAGCAGTGCTCTGCTCTCAGTGTTTATTCCCTGCTCAGAAAAGTGGTTTTTAAAAGGCAGCAAAACCCATGGCTGGGAATTTTCTACCTGTGCCCCCAGTTCAGCCTCAGGATCTCCAAAAAAGTAGCATCTGGGAAGAGCAAAGTTGAGTCCTTGCAGGACCTCAGCTGGAGCCGAGAGGGGATGAGGGCAAAGCAGCCACTGGTTGTGTTCCCTGACCCTTCCTTCTGCAGCAGGCAATTTTAAACTAAATGTTCATTAACCTTAAAAGTTCCAATGAAATATTCTGGATAAAAAACCAGGCAGCAACCAAACTGTCATGGTGAATTTCCTGTTTTGGAAACCCACATGGCCCTGACAGAACTTGGAGGTCTCACAATGGGTGTTTTCTGGCAGGATAGGAGAGAGTTTGTTGCTGCCATAAATCTCTCATGGCAAAGACAAGGTGGAGGATGAGCCTGATGAGGGTGTCTTCAACAAGAAGCAAGAGCACTTGGCACCCAGCAGGTGCAGCATTTCATGCCTGGCCACGGGAATCAAACCCAAAATTAACAAGCTGGCAAGCAGAGCAGAAAGCAGGAGGTGCTGTGGGTCTCCTCATAGAAGTGCCTGCTCATCTCATGGATCTACTCTTTATGCTAATCTGTCTTCTCCCCCACCCTGAAATCATGGCCAGGTTAAGACTGAGTGACTAGTTCTAATATTTCAGAGGGACTCACCTTGGGATAGAATCACAGAAACATAGAATCACAGAATCATTTTGGTTGGGAAAGACCTCTAAGATCATCCAGTCCCACCCTTCCCCAGCCATGCCCAGTCCCCACTGCCCTGTGTCCCTCAGCACCATCTCCAGGGCTTGGAAACCCCTCCAGGGATGGGGACTCCCCCCCTGCCCTGGAGTTGCCAGGCCCTGACAGCCCTTGCCAGGCAGGAATTGTTCCCCAGATCCAACCTCAACCTCCCCTGGCACAACTTGAGGCCGTTCCCTCTTGTCCTGTCCCTTGTTCCTGGGGAGCAGAGCCCGACCCCCCTGGCTCCAACCTCCTCTCAGGCAGCTGCAGAGCCAGAAGGTCTCCCCTCAGCCTCCTTTGCTCCAGGCTCAACACCACCAGCTCCCTCAGCTGCTCCTCACAAGTTCTCCAGCCCCTTCTCCTTCTGCTCCAGCCCCTTCCCCAGCTCCAGGGCCCTTCCCTGGACACGCTCCAGCCCCTCCAGGTCCTTCTTGTCCTGAGGGGCCCAGCCCTGACCCCAGGATTCCAGGTGTCCCCTCCCCAGGGCCCAGCACAGAGGGACAATCCCTGCCCTGCTCCTGCTGGCCACCCCAGTGCTGACACCAGCCAGGATGCTGGTGGCCTCCTTGGCCACCTGAGTACATGCTGGGTCATATTCAGTTGGCTGTCAACCATACCCCCAAGTCCAGGCTGCCCCTTTTGGGATCACCAGCTCCACCACCTGCAGATCTGAGCACTGGACACAACTGTTGTACTTGCTGGAAACAGACATGATGTAGGCTCTGAGCTTAAATGCCAGAAGAGCAGGCAGCTGCCTGCATGGCACAGGTAAACACCCATCCCTGCATCCAGCACCTCACAGGACTCCCTGCCCTTCCCACTCTGCTGGAACAACCACCCAGTGCTACAGCTGAGCTGCACAGGGACCCAGTTCCTAATTCTGGGGTAGCTCCACTGTAAAACAAGGATGGTCCTTCTGCCATGCACCAACGACCTGCTGGGAGAGCAGAGACAGGGGCTGTCCCCACAGCACAGCTCTGACCTGGACCAGAAGGGAGCACCAGAAAGCCCCACACCTGGGAGGTGGGATCCAGTACTGTGGGATCATCCCTTCCCATCCACAGAGAGGATCTGGCTGAGTTCAGTGAACAACTTCCAGTGCTTGGCTTCTCCTAACTACCAATGGACATGAACATAAGGGGGTCTACAGGAAAGCTGGGGAGGGGCTTGGGACAAGGGCACTTAGCAAGAGGACAAAGAGAAATGGATTAAAACTGGAAGAGGGGACATTTAGGTGAGACATGAGGAGAAAAGTCTTCCCTATGAGGGTGGGGAGACCCTGGCCCAGGTTGCCCAGGGAAGCTGTGGCTGCCCCATCCCTGGCAGTGTTGAAGGGCAGGTTGGATGGGGCTTGGAGCAGCCTGGACTGGTGGGAGGTGTCCCTGCCCATGCAGGGGGGTGGATCTAGATGATGTTTAAGGTCCCTTTCACCCTAAACCATCCTGTGATCCTATAAAGTTATCTGCTGCTTGGGCTGAAGCTTTTTGCAAGGCAACATGCAAACAGA